TTTCTTTGCCAGACATATTGTTATATTTTCTTTGCCAAAGAACCCAAGTTAACATGATTTTATTTTTCTTTCTAGCTCAAGTTCAGAACATTTTACAAATCTTTGAAGAAGAACGGAATGAATGGTTTCATTTTGAAACAAAGGTTTGTATAATATTGTTTAATATTTTCAATTTTAGTTGAAAAGTTCAACATCATCAGACAAAAATGCTGTAAAGAGTATTAGTATAAACATATTAATGGCCTATCACTCATACTGCGCTGGGATTGGCTACTYTACTAATGGTCTAATTTGTTTTCATTATTTGGCCGATTAGTATGTTTATACTAAAACAATTAGACCTCTTGGCCTCGTGGACTACGAGCTAATAGCCCATTCGGCCTCATGGGCTATTAGCTTGTAGTCCACTCGACCTCGAGGTCTAATTGTTAATTACATAGACATARCTCAAAGGATATTTTAGCGTTTATGTATTACATAAAGATAGGATCACATGTAATAGCAAATTGTTGATTGTTGTATTATTATTTTAGTTACCACTCGAAGCAAAACCAAGAAATTATGGCTAAAGTGAGAGATGAAGTTATTTGTAATTATGGTGGCRAAGAAAAATGTGATTGGACAAACGCACAGTTTGAAGGTAATTTTTAACTATGTGAAGTATTTCAAACCGGTATATTATAAGAAAGGTTAAGATAGATATTGAAAATTGAACCATCAGCTATATAATGAGTTTTTATGTGGAATAAACATGCAAATGAAACAAGAAATTCAAGACTAGGATTCGTATATTGAACAAGAAGAGATGGTCATCTTCTGTTTAAAATAAGGATGCTGATATTGTTTTAACAGTCACAATTTATTTTATCAAATATCTGCATAAATAGAATGAGTTTGTTTATGTTATCAATCACATCTTTATTTTTTGGCAGCTGCTGGTGCACGATATTTCAAGTCATTAAAGGATGCTCAGAGAATGCAAAAAGAAAACACCACGGAGAGCCACAAAACAACCTGCAGAAGACAAGGCCGTCTAAGAGAAGTAAGTGGATTTCCTGTGAACTCAGAGGATTTTGCAAAAGTATCTTAAAAGGAAGATTTGTGTAAAAAGCCAAAGTGCCTTGTAATCATAATCCTTAGACTTCAACACACATTTTGCGATCAACTGTTTTACAGTTGTTTTAAAGTCTATTTGGTTTTACAATAATAAACTTAATTCAATATTTTCTTTTAGAAATTGCAAAGAAGACTTCGTGGCCTTGARTTAATTAATGGCGATGATGAGACAAAGAGAAAGGCRATGTCAGTGATGACTAAGGAGTATATGTCGTCTGATGAGAGTGAGCAATCAGAAAATGARGATGGGGTTGTCGTAATCAAAGGATATTTTACAAAGCGTCTTCCATGGGAAAGAAGAGCATTAACGGAGCTGAAAAAAAGCCTGGACGACCAATATCTAGAGAGTCTTCCCGAACGAAGTCGACRTGGGACTCTTGATAGGAAAGTCCACGATCTACCCTCTGGAAGGCCAGTTCCCAGCAATGCAGAGAAATGGGCAGTTCGATCAGACTGTTTGTYGTCTACCCCTAAAACTCTAAAAAGGTTTTAAGTTATTGAACCTCAGTAAAAATATTTCAAAATTTTGTTCATATATTTAAGTTTGTAAATATATCAACTATCTTGTTACCTAATGTAAATATTGTGCAACACCAGTGTATGCAAGTGGTTTTAAAAGTTTAAAGGAGGTATAATGAAGTTCCAGTTAGTTTCTATATAAATGTATCTTTGTATTATTTATAAATTGACTTAGATTATATATTTACCATCTTTTTATTRTTATAAATTTCTTAGATTACCTTATATTTGATCAATAATTATGAAAATAAAATATTTTGTGTAAATATTATTGGTCTTAAATGTCTCATGGAAAAGAAGGGTGGGAAAAAAGGGTGAGAACTTCTGTGCTAGAAGAATGAAACTGACAAAAGATAATTTTCTTTATATAATTTTTCAATTCAAGTTAAAATATATTAAAGGCTTTAAGCAACTTTACCATACCTTTAAGATCACTTTAAATATGACTTTAAGCATCTTTAGGGTTACTTTAAGCTAGCTTAAAACTTACCTTTAAGTAAACTTAAGTTCAAGCTTAAAGGAGCTTAAATTGCAAAGTTCCTTTAAGGTTCTTTAATATGCAGCTTAAAGGTGACTTAAAATACATCTTTACGCAAGTTTAAATGTGGCTTAAAGATGCTTAAAGCCGTTCTTTAAGTCTACTTGAAGGAAACTTTAAGCAAGCTTAAAGTTACTATTTCATGCTGTGACGGAGTTTGTTGGTGCCTGCTACAGGAGTAAAGTCAAAGGGAAGACAATGTCCGCCATGAGATACAAACTGTGGGCATCCAAGTTTGGAAGTGGTGCTACTACTGCTCCTAAGATCCAGTCACTTCCACCATCAACAGAGGCATTCGTTGAAAACATCAATCGGGTTCATCTTCAAACAGTAATTTGGAAACATGCCACCTCACTTGATCCACCTAATCTTGATCCTCAAGAGTATGGGTACATACGAGACGCGTCATCAAAGACACTTCTACCCACCACAGTGCCAGATGAAGTTCCATTAGCACCAGAGAGCGTCATGAAATTGATTAAATGTAATTGCAGTGGCGAGGGTCCCTGCAAAACAATGCGTTGCAGTTGTAGYCATTCAAAATTACCCTGCACTCTRTTTTGTAACTGTGACGCCACGAACAAATATCTAAATGAACTAACAAAAACAGTCTCTGAGTAGAATCCCATATGCAACTGTTGATACATGTATGTTTGTATGCTTATAAAATCAAAACTGGGTAGTGGCTAGACTTAGCTTGGAGCCGGTCTAGAATGGAGAAGTAAGGCGTCTCCTTCCCTCCACTAGTCTGGGTGCTCACCTTGAGCAAGAGACAGTACACCCCCAGCCTCCTTTTGCCAAGGTAACGGGCTCAGACTGGCAGTTCTACATTTACTTATATGTCCTATTATCGCAAGTGATTGTACAGCCTTTTGCAAAAATTATGAGAATTGTTGAAATATCKAAATATCATAATRTYGAGTGCATGATGGGTAATCCCGCGCGATGCCCTTAGTCCCTTGTCTTTGTAGTTTAGTTGTTTTTTTTTTGGCGACAGACTTATCCGTAGTTCTGAACATTTTCTCGATGTCAACAATGAATTATTCTAGCAAACCCTCGTGTTCCAGACAATATATGGATATGGATATTATGATATTTAGATATTCAGACAATTCTCATAATTTTTGCAAAAGGCTGTACATGATTGTATATATGATATATCATATGTATTCTATATATCTAAGGATTTGGGGTAAGTTTTATTGTATTACGTCATCAATGCCATACCCACCCTGAAATGTGTAATTTCAAAATCTTAAATTTCAAATGAAGTTGAGTTTATCAATGTTAGAAACATATCTTCAAGATAATTTCATTAGAACGATATCACATAAGCGATGTTTTGCATGCAAATGAGTTTGAAAGTAAAATTGCATGATAATGAGAGTGTGCACGTGCCTTTTCGCTTCATAATAATAATAACAATCTTTTATTAGGAAAAACTATCACATAAGTGTGGTTTTCATAGAATTCCTAAAAAAGTTAAACTAATATTTACATGGATTTAAGATAAAAATATAAATAATTATATCTATATAAAACTATGGCTAACTTTAAAAAGAAATAAATAATAAAAAAATAAAAAATAAATAAATAAATAGCATATAATATAAAAACTAGGAGAAGGTGGTAAAAAGATGAGAGCGTAACTTTGATTTAAAAATGCTTAAAGATGGCGAATCTCTGATAGATAAATCTAAATTATTCCAGTCATTAATGGCTTGGAAGCATGTCCGTTGTTTACCCCAGTTTCTCTTTACTTTCGGTAATCTTAAATTATTTTTAGTACGTGTATTATATGAATGGGTTTCACTGTTTTTTACAATTTTTAAATAATGCTTATTCAAATTATTAACACATTTGTAAATATATATGCAGCGGTGGTAAAGTCTGCGTTTCCCTAAACTCAACCATTTCAGTGATGAGAGTGCATCCGTTGCTGAAAAATAAAAAGGTCTATCAAGGATAATCTTAGCTGCCTTATTTTGGAGTACTTGCAACTTTCCCATTAAAATAACATTGTCTTTGTCGCCCCAAACTACATCAGCATAGTCAAAAACGGGCACAATGAAGCTATTATAAAAAAGTAACCGGGCGTGAAATGGCAATAAATGCTTAATTCTACGCAAAAGGCTCAAGTTCTTATTGATCTTACAAGAGATATATTCAATGTGGTCAGTCCATGTAAAGTTAGCGGATAGCTTAATTCCAAGATACTTGAAACTAGAAACACTTTTAACATTAGATTCAAAAATAGTCAATGAAAAAGACGAAATTGCAGAGAGTTTTTTGCTACTCCCTATTAACATAGATCTTGTTTTGATCATTGATCCAGTTGATTGTCAACTAGTACCAAACGTTTTTATTTTGTGAAAATATTGCTTACAAAATTTATTACAGAATTTGGTAATACAATGCAGTTCAGTTATCTAAGTATAATTGCTAATCTTTACACAAAAAAGGACAAATAAAACAAACTTTTCAGCTAGCCTCTGTTGAAGACGTCTTACGTTGTTCGCCGAACGGAAAGCTTTTTCTGACGTGAAATACTAATTGCAACTGAGGCTACAGTTTACTAGTACTTTTTCAACATTTCCCAGTTCGATAGCTAACAGAATACAAATTTTCCGTGACTCATAAACTGTAACCAAACCTATATATACTCTCGGCTGATGTCTAAAGTAAATTATATCTGTTTAAAAAGTTSAACACGTCTTTCAGCCAAAAAAGCCACAAGCTCTACGCACACGGGCATCAACCATCTAGGGTGTCTCCAAATACTTCCGATTGATTTGTATGTTTTCATGTCCTTGAAAACGTGTTCTACCTTGATTTGTCTTCTCGATAAATATCTGTTAAATCTCCGMGCCCGCCTTCGGCCTCTACCTTGTAAAATACGCATTTATGCAGCCCGTATTGGTGTAAGTAGGCATCTGTCACCTGGTTACGCTTTGTCTGCTAGAAAGACGGCGTTGGCAGGTAAGCTCAAGGGTTGTCCAGGTCCGATGGGTGTCATTAGCCGGTATGAAGTGRCGTCATGCGTACTACCTAAAAAAACAGCTTGTACAAAACGCAGATGTCCCTCATGTCCATCATCTACTATTAGCTGAGTTTTGAAGCAATGATAATGGCGATGTCCACTGTAGAATGGCCTCTGAGGCTCGATTGACAGACGATAGATTTCATGTGGGGTGGAGTCTATGGCCCCTACAGCAGTTGGAAATTCGGGCCAATTTCCCATCAGATTTGCCCATTCGTTGTTGTTAAGCCACCTTATTTGATTGTGAAAGTACTGCCAGAGCTCAGGTAACAGTTTATWGATTATTCGTATAACGGACAYTGGATCAATGTCAAACCACAAAGTCAGGGTGTCGACATGGGGATATTTTCTTAGCCAAATAAGTGCTAACAAGAACTGATTAATTATATTTAACTTTTGACGTCGTTGCCGCTGTCGAGGTTGTCCATGAACATTCATCTGAAATATATTTGGTGCTAGATCACAAACCAGTTGTAAAAACGATCCCGCGGTCTCACCAGTATTTCTCCAAAACAACCATTGTTAGCGAGCTATTCGTGAAAAAACGTCCCGCCCCAAATAGGGGTTCCCGTGAAAGCCAGCCAGTAGACGATGGTTCAAGGGAAAGTTGCCCACTCCTAATGGCACTTGTAAAGATATTAAAAGTATCACGACGGCTTTTATAAGCTGGAAAAAAAAATTGCTGCTGTGCAAGATCCATGTTAWGCTGTGTTCAAGATACTTGTGAATCGCGGTCTCGTGACAATGCTAGTTAATTACTTCCACACCTTAYTGCGTGTGCGTGAATCACGCCGTATACTTTTCACTGCTGTACTACCTCGCCGCAAGTTTGAGTCAAGTTGTTGGAGTCAGTGCTAAGAATATACTTCTACTTCTAATTTGTTTAAACGAGAAGAATGTGTAACAAAGATATTCCAGAAGACTCGAATGCTACAGGTACCTATTCTATGTGAAACAGAAAGCTAAKTAGTATCTAAAGAGTGCAATGTTACAGCGTTTTAACATGCCATATTTTCTTTCAACATAAAATAGATACTGCGAAGAAAGAAAGTGTACATGCTAATGTGGGTGATTTGGAAAGACAATTTGTACTCCACGTGTACAATGCAAGCATGGGTAAAGACTGGAATGCACTTGTTTTGAAGGCCAAAGAAGAAATTGTGGATGCTAGGCTGCCGCAGCGCGTAGTTCAAATTTACCTAGAAAGTACACAGAATAGAGTAATAAGTCGAATGAAAAACATCGTTAAGACAGCTGTAGCGTTCCCACTCCCTTCCAGCTATACGTCCACAGCGTCTAAACCTATATACGTAGAAGAACAACAACAACTACAATCAAAGCAAATGAGATATGCGACAAAAACAACGCCAGCTCAGCGAAAGATTGAGTACAAATTGCAGCAGCAGTTTGACGTGTCATCGACCGATAGTGAGGAAAGTGATGATGAAGAAGAAGTCAAAAGAGGAGGAAAAGTGATAAAGAAGTAGCACATGAGGCTCAGGAAGCACACAAAAGCCTGTGCGATAAAGCAAGTTCAACACTTGATAAAGTCAATGATTTGCTGACTGGACTAAAGTCGCAACTAGACTCCAAGAAGTCGTAAACGTACATTTACTAKTAMCCTTTTTGTTACAGTTTATCTTGTATTTTGTTTGCTAGCGAGCTGATAAAAATGTTGAGCAAGTATTTTAAACTATAGCCTCAGTTGCAGTTAGTCAGGATTTTACGTCAAAGGCTCGAGAAACAACAAGCTTTCCGTAATACCGTATACGATAGGCTTAAGTTGGACGGAACAGCGCACGGGAACAACGATAAAACGTGTTCAACTGAGGCTAGCGGAAAAGTTTATTTTTTTGTCCTTGTATAAAAAAATAAACTGAACTGCATTGTATTATCAAATTCTGTCATAAATTTTGTAAGCRATATTTTCACAATAAAAACGTTTTAGACTTTCAAAGTTTGTGGGATCAATGAAGCGAAAAGGCACGTGCACACTCTCATTATCATGCTATTTTACTTTGAAACTCATTTGCATGCAAAACATCGTTTATRTGATATCGTTCTATTAAAAAGTTAAAGAAAGCGATGATCCTGTGTACTACTATGACGATTTATTCCATTGTGATGTCATAACAAAGACCCCCCCTAACTTTGAATGCCCAAGTATGCCAAGTTGTCATCAATTTGATTTTTGATTACAAACATGTCTTCAATACGAATTCGTCAAAAAACATTGTATGGACGCAATTTCCAGGTGGTGTCACCTGGCTGCCGGACTAATATGTTTGTTGCATTATATAGAACCTTAAAGACTTTCAATGGGAAAAAATTATTGAAGAGTTGAAAGATCGTGCTCCTGATGTGTTAGACTTTTTAGTCACAATTGCAGCACCAGCAAACAAGAAGAAAAACTGATTGAGCTGATTCCACAATTGTGTACCTCATTTGGAATACTTATGAATTGTCGATGGAGGGTATTGAGCTTAATCCAAAAAATAAACACAGTTATACTTCGAAGCTCAGCAATGGTGTGTACAGCAACAAACTTTCCCTGTAGTGTAATCATAATTACTATATTGTGTTTTATAAGGAAGACATTCACATAGAGCATTACTAAATAGTGTCACAAAAATTGAGCATTGTCACCATACTTTTTAGGTTAAATTCCATTTAATACAACTTTTGTAGTCTTTTCCAGACCTTGGAAAGGTTTAGTAAGCAAGGTTTGACACAGACAAGGAATAGCTATAGGTCACTTATGGACGGCATTGGATCTAATCTTGTGGAAGAAATTAAACAAAAGTTATCAGCAGGAATGAGATGAGGATTGTCTTTGACAATRTAGACTTCAAAGTGCTTGTCAATGTAATCCTTAATGATCACAAAAACTCCGATAATCATTGGATAGCCCATTTCCATACATTTGATAGGGCACTATCCAGTGGACTTGATGATCACAAGCCCCAAATAACAGATCCCAAACACTTTGACAATATCAATTACCTWCTTAGCAAGGAYGAAATTGAGAAATTGAGAGAAGATTACATTGTACTGGCAGCCCGTGTACTGACAGAATTTTTTCCCTTCTTGTCACCTATCAGTGCAGTTATTCCAGCCCACATTGAACATAGGTAATGGATAATGTTTGTGAAGGATACTTGAGAAATTTGCTCACAAATAAATTAGAGTTATCATTATAATAGAATTAGATTTTCTTAGAATGCATTGTTTTTATTCTAAGTTGTCAGTTCTATAAATCATATTCTTAGAGTGGCCTCAGTTTCAGTAATGATTGCCTTCTTTTTCAGGTTTTCAAAGTGCATGGAAAGGAAATCGGAGATAGTAGCCTTACCAGTCTCGCCGTTTAATCAATCTATGCATGCTGATGTATGTCTATACCTGGATGAACTGCAAAACTTWATTTATGATGTAAAGAAAGATGAGGTATATTAAAAGTCTGTAATGAGCATGAATCGATGCAAATMCCATTCTATTTGGCTACTGATCTATGGTGTATTCATTATAGACCATGGTAACATTTAATGAAGCAAAACAWGTTGGAAAAAAATGTTGAGAAAAATGGTCCTTTTTCAAATTTGCYCTCCTTATATTTTGATCAGTCTCTGTTTGAGAACTGCCCCATGGACTATCAATTTGTAGTCCACTGGTCCTTCGGTTCAATCTTTCTTTACACTTGTATAATAATTACTGACATTGTATTTAATAATTTGACAAAAGGTACTTGGCAAAGCAGCTCAAATTTGCAATACTTTTGATGATAATCATTTTAACACAGAACAATCCAATGACAAAAGATGAAATATTAAAAAATGTTCAAGTTCCTCTCGCTGGTGATCTACTAGGAAGGGAACGGGTCACCGGTGCAAAGAAAACAAGGCTGGGATGCGATAACTCTTCAGACCTGTTTACAAATATAGTAGAATGTCCCGCACTCTGCCATTGCAAAATGGCCTTCCTATCAGTAAGAAATAATCATGATTGTAAAACACAAACTGGCTAGCCTTTTATAGATTCTTTGTTCAGTAATCTGTTATAGCTACCATTTAATATAATTATCAATATATAATGTGATTAATTGAAACAATGAACTAAATTTAATYGACTTGTAATATTATGAAATGAACATGTACCATTAGATACTTAATTTCATTTTTGTTAAAATGTAAGACTAGCAATNGCTTAAAATGTTTTGTTATGTATAGAAAAAGACTAAAATCGGCCGTAAAGTTACCGGCTTAAAATGTTTTGTTATGTGTATGAAAAAGACTAAAATCGGCCGTAAAGTTAACGGCTTAAAATGTTTTGTTATGTATATGAAAAAGACTAAAATCGGCCGTAAAGTTAACGGCTTTAAAATGGTTCGCTGTGTCTATATGGCCGGTTACCGGTCAAGGTCTTGAAAATGCTAAATGGCCGGCAGCCCATAAAATAACAGATTTCTCTTTTATTATTCTTATTTAAAGAGTTAAAACAACATAATCAACATTTCTGAAACTTTCATGGTACTGTAGAGGCATTTTTTTTTTCGAGAAAAATCTCAACCAACACGGCGGACTGTCGGTAACACAACATCAAAATGCTAAATGACCGCCAGCTCACAAAATAACAGATCTGTCTTTTCTATTTCTATTTAAAAAGTTAAAACAACATAATCAACATTTCTGAAACTTTCATGGTAATGTAGAGACATTTCTCTATTCGAGAAAAATCTCAACCAACTGACGGCGGACTGTCGGTCAGGCAACGTCGAAATCAACAGATTTTTCTTTCCATGCATCTTTTATTATTCAAATTTAAGAGTTAAAGGATTACTGCCAGTTCCAACCGTAAGTACATTACTTTTTTCCGATAAAAATCTGCATTCTTTACTAGGATTACAGTTCATGTTCAGATGGTTATGCTGTGTGGCAGACAGCTCACATGATAATGTTGTATTTAAAATGATATATGATGATGATGTTGTCTGATGATAATGTTGTATGATGATAATGTAGTATGATGACTCAAATGTTGTATGATGACAAAGTTGTAAGATGATGAAAATTTTGTTCTTGATGAAAATGTTGTATGAATATAATGTAGTATGATGACTCAAATGTTGTATGATGATAACGTTGTATGATGATAATGTAGTATTATGAAAATGTTGTATGATGAAAATGTTGTATGATATGATAATTACAACATTATCATCATACAACATTTGAGTCATCATACAACATTATCGTCATACAACATTATCATCAGACAACATCATCATCATATATCATTTTAAATACAACATTATCACATGAGCTGTCTGCCACACAGCATAACCATCTGAACATGAACTGTAATCCTAGTAAAGAATGCAGATTTTTATCGGAAAAAAGTAATGTATTTACGGTTGGAACTGGCAGTAATCCTTTAACTCTTAAATTTGAATAATAAAAGATGCATGGAAAGAAAAATCTGTTGATTTCGACGTTGCCTGACCGACAGTCCGCCGTCAGTTGGTTGAGATTTTTTTCGAATAGAGAAATGTCTCTACAGTACCATGAAAGTTTCAGAAATGTCGATTATGTTGTTTTAACTTTTTAAATAGAAATAGAAAAGACAGATCTGTTATTTTGTGAGCTGCCGGTCATTTAG